TGCGGACATCCAGGTAGGGGGCTCGGGAGCCACCCCACCGGGTGTGCGGGGGTCGTTCGCAGGGGGTTTAATTCATAGTGTCAGGGTCGGGCGCGTTGGGCACCCGCAGGAGCTCCGTGGGTCCTGCTCTCTTCCGCGGCCAGGATGGAAGATCCCCAAATGAATTAGCTCTGCATTGGTGGCGGGGGTTGAGCCGTGGGTGTCTGTCCTGCAGCGGTTCTGCTGATCTCGAGGGGGCTGCAATTCGGAAAAGCCACCGTCTTTGCAGAGCGGTAGCTAATGTCATTGTAAGTGACTCTGCTACAGTGCACGTGTGGGAAAATGCTGCTTTCTGGCTGGATCCAGCTGTGACTGGAGAATTTAGTGTAAACAGCATAAACTCCTGAGGTCTGTGTAGCCACAGAAATTCCGGAACCGCACTGTGGGTACGTCTGTGTGCTCTGTGTTTACGGGACCTGTTTGCGCAGCTTTGTTAAGGTCGCGTTCTGTTGAGCGTCGAGGTGTTCCTATGGGCGCATCCTTCGGTGTCACTGGGAAGACTTATTTGTGGGGGAGAGCATGCTCCCCTGTGCTGCAGCATCTGTGGTGCCTGGTGTATTAAATCGTGTAGCCGCGTCCCCTGTCGTGGTTGTATCCCTTGTTTCAACCATGCCTGGGGTAAGAACCTGCCGGATTCTTTCAGTTGGGTGTTCGGAGCAATCTGTCTCTGTGGCTGTGCGTGTTGGGAGGGGCTGAGGCGTGGTGCTCCCACCTGGCTGCGAGGGCACGGTCACGAGTGGGCACTGAGTTGTGCAGAAATAAACATTTGCAAATACCAGATGCGTCCCCACTGGGGGCTCCTCTGGCTCGGTCACGCTGCAAAGCGCTTCCTTTTAAATTGGCTTCTGGTCCTTGTGTCCTCACCAGGAAAAAGCAAACAACCACTTTTACGTGTTCTTCATCTGTTATCTCATTCTGGTTATTCTGTGTGCCGATCTGGCTGTGTCTGGGGAATTGGAAGGGAGCTTTTTCAGGTCACCTAGTTACTGAAACGTGCTTAAAATCACCTCTTTTCCTCATGTAAGTTCAGATTTGGTTTAAATAAGTTTCTTGTTTGCTGTGGTCCGGCCCCAATGTGTAAAACGTGGCTCTGTGAAGTCGCCTCAGTTTAACCGGCTCCTGCGCTTTGTGTGGCTGTTGAGATTTGCCTTTTCCGCCACCGGCTTGGGCTGAGGTGTGGACGAACTTCCACTTACGGTTTATTTAGCCGCAAAGCTGACTTAATGGCTTTGCACCTATTTGTTACTACCCGTCCCATAATTTAGCGCCACCTCAGATGTGGTGATCACTTTCTTTGTTTCTATGCTAATCGCATCATTAACGTGGTGCAGCGCAGCGGTGTATCGGCAGGAACGAGTGGCTGGAAGGAACCTTGAATGCGCTTTGCTGTCGGAGGAGCTGCGCAGCGTGGCTCCCTGAGCGTTCGCTGCTGCTCAGGAGGAACCCGTGTTCTCTGCAGTGCAAAGAGAAGCTGGTGCTGGAGAAGGGGCTGAGCGCCGTCGTACCTGTGTTGCGCACTGTTCCAGAAAGCTTCTATCGAGTGCCATGTAACGGTCACCTCCGTTGAATGAGTAAAGGGAGGAGCTGGCCTGCAGCCCTGCCTGAAGCACTGCTTGCTTAGGAGGTGGGAGAACACGCGTAGTGCTCCCTCAGATGCTGGGGCAGTAACTCGCGTGGCAGTCAGGCCTTGCAGCCGACGCTGTGGAATGTGGCCTGTCCCTTTGGGCGCCCCGCAGCTCTGGTGTAGGTGTTGAGCTTTTGAGCACAGGGTGTAGCAGAAACTCGCGAAGGTGAGGTGTCCTTAAGGACTTCCTAAACGTAGCACCTGTGAAACAACATTGGTGCTCCGTTGCCACCTCTTCATTTCCCTCCTTTGTGACGGCAAATGACATACTTCAGTAGAGGACTTTCCTAATCTCAGTTTTTGGGGTATACTCCTAATGGGCTGTGTTTTTAAGTTGCACCTGGTCTAGTAAAGATTTAAGGGGAGGGGAGGGAAAAAAGAAAGTCCAGCATGATGAAACTGTGATCATCTCATGAATCTCTGTGTTCATACAGATCATTCTTCCTCTTTGAAATGGGTTAGGGTCTGGATTATTTTTAAATAGTCAGCCCATTGACTCAGCCTCAACTAAAGGACCCGCAGTTTCCCTTGAGGCTGCTTCGCTGGCTGTAAACGTGCACCCTGCAAGCGCGGAATACGAAGTCCTGCTTGTTTTTGCCACCTGTGGCAGCTTTCCGAATTCCTTCTGATGGGCTTGTGCTCCCCTCTTTCATTGGTGCTTTTTCTGAGTTGTCAATGATGTTTTGAAAAGCGCCTGCAGTTGCTGAGAGCGGTTGTGTATAGGGAACCAGCGCCGTCTCTTGGCTGTGTGGTGTTTGCAGCGCTGATGGACGCATGCGCTCTTCTCCCTCTCTTTCTCAGGAACTCTTTGCAGAGTTTGGGACCTTGAAGAAGGCAGCTGTGCACTATGACAGATCTGGCCGCAGTCTAGGGACAGCGGACGTGCATTTTGAAAGGAAGGCAGACGCTCTGAAAGCGATGAAGCAGTACAATGGAGTCCCCTTGGACGGTGAGTCTGCATGGCCGTCTCCGCAGCATATTTCACTGGCTGGCTGGAGCAGCCCACGTGCCCGTGTCCCGCACGCGGGCTCATGGGCTGCTCTTCCTCCAGGGCGCCCCATGAACATCCAGCTGGTCACATCACAGATCGACACACAGAGGAGACCAGCACAGAGGTGAGATGCTGTACGGCCACGGGTGTCGCCGTGCCCGGTCAGCGTGGGGCGGGAACATGCCTGGCCCCTCTCTGTGTAGGAAGCATGGATCCGTCTTCCGTTCGGCAAACTTCTGCATGCCTGTTTGGGTTAACCGGAATGCACTAAACCAAGTTGCTTTTTAAAAATCACAGCCTAAACAGAGGTGGCATGACCAGAAGCCGCGGTGGTTCAGGAGGATTTGGTGGTGGAGGAGGCAACAGGCGAGGTACTCGTGGCGGGAACAGGGGGAGAGGCAGAGGAGCTGGAAGAACTTCCAAACAGCAACTCTCCGCAGAAGAACTAGATGCACAGCTGGATGCTTACAATGCCAGGGTAAGTGCTGCTTGGGCGCAGTCCACAGGTTCCCGGCGGGATCTCGGTCTGGGAAACATTGGCAGCCCGGAGCTGGCAGGAAAGAGAAAGCATTTTCCAGGTCATCAGACTGAAGCAGTCTCCCTCTAAAGCTGAGCAGTGCCTTGTCCGGTGGTTGGCTTTACTTTTCAGAACACTTTGTCAACTACTGTTTCCGATAGCCATGAAACAGCCCCTTTTCCAGCTCCCCCGCTCGCTGGGGCCGGCGTGGGACGCTGGGGCCGGCGTGGGGCAGGCTCTTCCGCAGCTGGAACAGCTGTGGTGAACAGTAGCTGCATAACAAAACCCACAGAGATAATGGGCTGCAGAAATGGAAAAACAAAAAGAAAAAAAACATGTGAAATAACTGCATGGGATGCTAACGGAGGAAAGGTCGGCGATGCCGATGGCGGATACGAGTCCTAATGTATGGAGCCACGCACGCTGCCTTCAGAACTAGCTGGAACGTGTCTGTGCTGCAGCCAGATTAAAATCTCGATAGAGAACCGGGGTCACGCGTGTATGCAGTGACAGCGGAGCCAGTGTTATAGGAATGGGGTAAAATCGAGGCGAGAGTATGGAAGAAGTGGGATGAGCAGAATTCCAGAAAAAAATGGCACGGGAACGTCTGGTGTTTTAGAACAGTCTTCTCTGGCGCTGGGGATGTGTAAACAGCGTTTTTTAGGAAAGACTGGGAGGGGGTGGGGGGCGCGGCAGAGCCTCACCCCACTGCGGGTAGGTCAGCACC